CATCGGACTGGGGGGAGAGGTTTCTATCTCCTTTATCCTAACTGAATTGCTTAAGGGGAACTTAGATCCTGCTTTGCTTTTGTCTTGCAATCACTCGCTTTCAATAAAAGATTCCCTTTGAAATGCTGCTATCTCAACACTCCTACTTTTTTGAATTGGGAGTAGAGGCAGGACCTTACACCACCAATCATTTGCACTCTCTTAGTTTTGGGAACAGTCTGTCTATCTCAAACTTCTCCAGCTGGTGACCTTGAGGTGTTGGGTTTGTCTCAGGCTTCTCGTTGACACACTTGCATTCCAAATTTCACTCCCAAACCTCCCTTACATTCCAATGCCTTCCCTCCTATCTCCTGTTACAGTTGTCTGGTTGCAAGCAAAGTCGTGTAGGGGTCAACCATGACAATCAGGTTTTAAAAAACTCATGCTGGCTTCTAATAATTATCTTGTTTGTTTCTAGATGCTCACATATCTTCCATTTGATATTTTTTCCAGGATTTTCCTAGGTATTGATATCAAGGTGATTGTCCTATAATTTCTTGAATCCATTTTTCCTACCTTTTTATAAACTGGAATTGTATCAGCTTTTTTCAGTCCTCTGATATTTCTCCCATGCTGCTTTTGGGCTGTTTCCTCCTTTTGCCTAAAAACAAGAAGGAATTAAATAGTTCTGCTTCCTCCTTACTACCTGCCATCTTCTTGCCATCTGCTCCCATTAGTGGACCTATCATTTCCTTGACTTTCTTCTTGTTTCTTATATATTGAAAGAAATCTTATCTTATTATTTTTTTGGCATTAGTAGCTAGTTTTACCTCAATCTAGGCCTTAGTTTTCCTGACTCCCTCCTTGCCAATTCAGGCCATTTGTTGGCCTTCTACTTTAGTTATATGACTTTCTCTCCATTTTTTTATATTTGACCTTTTTGTCCCTCAATTTGTCAGAAAGCTCTTTGTTCATGCTGGTCTCATCTGGTGTCTTTTGTTTTTTTTATTTTTTTATTTTTATTTGATTTATTTGATTTGTCAATCGCTTACAAGATAACAGGTATAAGTATATACATAGTTATGAGTACATGAAATGGGTACACATAAGAAAAATAAAAGAAAGTGAGGGCTGAGCTGGCATCGTGATGATACGGCATGCAATCTTGGAGGTCTGAGATCGCAGCCGGTATCTTTGCCCCTGGACGGTCCAAACGGATCTAAACCGTCCCGAAGAGATGGCGATTGTGAAGAGTGCATCCTGTAGATCCCAGGGATACCGCAAAGTCCCTGGTTGATCCAGGAGAAGCTCTTCTTGCCAGGGCAAAGAGGCAGCCATTAAAGCTGCTGAAGTTGGGACAGCTCCGAAACGGAAGAGAGCAGAAAGAGAAAGTGTGCCGGCTTGGCGAGAACTTTCACTTTTTTATTCTAAGACTTAAAAGGACACCCTAAAGAAAAGAAAGAATCTAAAAGTTTTGACAGAAGTGAATAAGCGGCGATTTTAAATGGAAGAGTCAAAGTAAGGTTTTGCTTTTTTTTTCTTTATTGCTGGATTTCTATACGCGATTTTGCATTTGCTAACTGGACTGGCTTTTTTTCTTATTTATCTTTACTTTTTCTTCTCCTTTTTGATTTTGCAATATTTTATGTGCTGAATGTGCTGAAATGAGTAGATTGACATTTGAAATTAGAGAACAAGAGGATGAACAATTTTACAAAATTTGGGACCTTTTCTATCAATGCTTAGATAATAAAATACAATAATGAAATATGTAGAATCTTAGAAAATAATAAATATATAAAGATGTACTTTCTTTTCTTTTTTATTATATCTATAAAAAACTTTTAGGGTAGATTCGGGAAGATTATATGAATTGTTACAAAATGATACTAAGTAAATTATAGTTATCTTGAAAAATATGAATGAATAAAATTATTGTCAAGTGATTGATTAATAATGATACTAGGGTACTTAATTTCTGATTGAGAATATGAGTTATTATGCAATGTAACTGTAATTGATGACTATGAAATGGATGCACAAAAAACTTGTAAACCAACCGGCCCACTGCTTGTATTCTCATGGAAGAAAGGTTAATGTTTTTATGTTTTGTTTGTTTATGTTTGTCTTTAAAAATCAATAAAAAATTTACAAAAAAGAAAAGAAAAATAAAATAAAGAAAAGTTTTCCTTTGGCATTGTTTTTTCTTGTTTCTTCTTTATCTCATTTTTCAAGGTTTCCCGAGCATCTTAAACTGTTTTTCCTTTAAGGATATAATGCTTGGAATCCTTCTTAGCTCTCTTTTAGCTTGTTGAAGTCAGTTCTCTTGAAGTCTAAAACTCTAGTCTTACTTGGTTTAGTTACCTATGCTTGCTTTATGGTGAATTCAAGTATGTCATGATTGCTGTCTCCCAAAGTTCCTATAACTTCTTACTCCCTCAACCATTTTGTCCCTATTAATAAGAATTAAGTCCAGATCTCTCTAGTTTCCTCCTCGACCTTTTATATGACAAGTTGTGAGCTAGGCATGTCAGCTCACAACTTTTGACTGTTACCTCAGCTAACTGATTAGCAAAGGGTCCATTTATTTCCTCTGGCTGGTTGGGTGGCTTGTACTACATATATTTAGCAAAGTCATCTATTTTACCTCTTAATATTTATCCAAATACCTTCAAGCTATTAGGGCTTTCATCCCTAGTATTGTGAATTCTATGATGGTGTAGTAATTCCTTACATGCAATGCAAATGACCCCCTTTTGCTGGATTTGTTCCTTTTGAATATACCCTTCTAGTTGTGTGTTCCAATCATGGGTTCCATCCCACCAAGTTTCAGTAATAGCTACAACATCATAGTTGCCCTCATATACTAAAATTTCAAGTACTCCCAGTTTATTCCCCATATTATGAGCCTCGATATATAGGCATTTGAGCCCTTTATACTTGTCCCTAGTTTTGTTTCCTGAATCTTCTGATTTATACTTGTGAGCTCATTCTTCACCTTTCTTCTTATCTGATTTGTGATTTAATCCTGTTAGTTGGTCATGCTCCCCCAACACTTTCGTTTAAAAACTTTTAGATAAGCTGAGCTAGATATTTCCCAAATACATTCTTGCTGGTCCTGGAGTCTATCTCTTGCTAGAAACTCTTCCTTTAAGTAGTATAATCAATCGTCTAGAAAGCCAAACCATGCTTTGAGCCAGCAATTTACTTCTAAAATCCTCTATTTCCCCATTGGATGTTGACTTTCAGTTGAAAGTATAGATGAGATCATTTCCTGTACTCCTGTTCCAAACTCTTTAGCTATCCTGCTTAGTTGCTCATAGTCCATTGAAATTGTTTTCAGGGTCATTGTTTCATTCATCCCAACATGAAAGAGGAGAAAGGGAAAATAATAGATAGGCTTGATTATTTTTGTGCTCCTTTCCATCACATCTTTAATCTTTGCCTCTGAAAGACAATGCCTTCCCTTAAGAATTTGTCTGGTCTACAGATTGTTGACTCTGTTCCTTTAAGCCGAGACTCTCCAATCACAAACACTCACCTTTTTTCCTTTGGTGAAAACTGAGCTACTTTATTTTTTGTCACTTGTACATTTGGCAAAGTTTTTTCTTCAGGTGTCTGTTTCCTTCCTTCCTGGGGTAGGATATGAAATACGAAATTTCAGAGAGGGCAGGGGTTGTGTTCTTAATTTTTGTTTTTATTGTCCTTCTAAGCATGACATGCTGCCCTTGCTCTTCATTTTTGTCTTCCTTACTATGTTCTGTTTGGATAGAGATTTATGATTCTTCTTCCCTTGGTATGCTCTGTTGAATGGAGACTTCTGAATTTCATAGAAGGCAAGCTGTTCCATTGGTTGATTGTTCTCATTTCATTGGCAGTACAGATGAAAAAACTAGTTGTGCACTGAACGCCTTAACTTTCTGGCCTAGCTGCTCATAATCACTTAATATTGTTTTCAATTTTTGGTGTCGTTCGTCCCTTCATGTAGTAATATAAAAGGATAATAATCTGTGGGTTTTATTATTTTGGTTAGGTTCTCAACCATATCTTTGATTTTTGCTCCAGGTAGACAACATACCTCCCTAGTTTGTATGGGTCTGCAGATGGCTGGCTCTGTTCCTTTGAGAATAGAATCTCTTATCACCAACACTCGAAGTGTGTCATGTTCATTGTGTTCACCACTGGAACTCAGAGTGTGTAGTATGGGTATGTCTGGAGTTTTAGTGGTGTGGCTTAGCTTACATCCAGAATCTTCACTTTTTTTCTCATGTAATCTAACCAGTGCATATTTATGGCAAGTTTAATTTGAGTTACATTTTAAGTTAAGTAATTCAAGTTACAATTTAAGGAAAAAGAACCACCGTAAGGAGAAACAGCTTGGGCAATCTCACATAATTAATCCAGAGAGGATCAAAGGGAACTGATCTGCTTTGGCTCCTACTTGTACAAAGCTTGCAAATTGTTATCTCATTTTTTCTGCAGGGCAGTCTTTAGTTGGGGCTCTTTGCCCCAGAAGCCTGAAACTGTTGTCAATATACATATATCAGAAACATACTCCCACACACAAAGAAACACATAAACACATTGTTTTTTCTCTCTTTTTAATTGTTCCTTATTTTTCTTTTCTTTTTTATTTAAAAGCATTAATAATTTTATGAGCATTTAAATATTAATTATTATTAGAGCCTCGGTGGCGCAGTGTTCAGAGTGCTGTACTCTAGTCAACCACTTCTGCTGACTATCAGCTGTTCAAATCCCACCAGGCTCAAGGTTGACTCAGCCTTCCTTCCTTCTGAGGTGGGTAAAATGAGGACCTAGACCGTTGGGGGCAATATGCTGACTCAGTAAACTGCTTAGAGAGGGCTGTAAAGCACTGTGAAGCAATATATAAATCTAAGTGCTATTGCTATTGCTATTCCTAATTTAATCTTCATTAAACACAGCACTTGTTGCTTACTGCTAGGCAGGCGAGGATATCTCATACTTCATGTTTTCTCATGGTTTCTTGTCTCCAATTACAGATACTGGTTTGGGAGATTCTCTGTGTTCCAGTCCAAGTATATCTAGCAATACGAGTCCTAAATTGGATCCACCACCTTCCCCTCATGCAAACAGAAAAAAGCATCGAAGGAAGAAAAGCACTAGCAATGTTAAAGCTGAAGGTATCTCAGGAACTGCTGAAGGTATCTATTTTATGTTCTCACTGAAGCTTAATTTTTATGCAAGTATGACTTAGGTGATGGAGGAATTTTTATTTACATTTGAATTTGGCTTGATTTTTGTTATCATGCTACTTCCCTGCCATTATGTCCTGGGGCAACAACAACAACAAATGACCTCCCTGCATATTTTTAAGAAATAAGTCAGCTTCTAAATGGAACTGGATATTTCATCTATAATCTTTAAAAATTAAAGCTATTCCCATATCTACTTTATTCTAATATATTAAGTGGGGCTATGTGAATTTTGCGACTGAAAACAGACTTTATTTTGCAAATTTTTCTATAGTTGATTATTTTCATATGGTACAATAGAAAGTACATTTGAGGCAATACAGAGATTACAATGAATTAATATTTTAAATTGCATTTGGAAGACACAGATAAACGCCTTTTCAGGATTGGGCAAATGAATCAGTACTGATGCCTATTAGAATGTGAGAATCAAGAATGTGAGAATCAATATTCTTTTGTAATGTACAAAGTAATGGTTACAGCATTTTCTAAGAGCAAAACTTGACATAAACCTATCAGTCCAAAGTATAAGTCCCCAGACTCAATTTTTATCTTTATGTGGTACACTGTGCTTAAGTTGAGTTCTGGCATAAGAAGTAGTTCTCCGCAGTTCTTCAGACAGGATTTGGAAGAGGGTCTTTAGAATATACAGGAACCTGGTTATATCACTTATTGGTGACTTATGAAAGTAGATTTTGTTTTTATTCCTTAGAACTAATGAAATGTATTGTGTAGTTTGGCAGATAATTCTTTGAAGATCAATAGCAGAGAAAGGTTGTCTTATAATGACTGTTCTCTTTATTAAAGGCATTTCAGTCATGTTAGTAGTATAATTTATATTATATAATTTTTACAGGGATGCGATGGCTCAGTGGCTAAAAAGTTGAGCTTGTCGATCAGAAAGGTTGGCAGTTCGGCGGGGAGCTCCCGTTACTTGTCCCAGCTTCTGCCAACCTAGCAGTTCGAAAGCATGTAAAAATGCAAGTAGAAAAACAGGGACCACCTTGGTGGGAAGGTAACAGCGTTCCATGCGCCTTTGGCGTTTAATCATGCTGGCCACATGACCACCGAAGCGTCTTTGGACAGCACTGGCTCTTCAGTTTGTAACAGAGTTGAGCACCGCCCCCTAGAGCCAGAAACGACTAGCACATATGTGCAAGGGGAACCTTTACCTTTACCTTTTTAATAGTATAATATAAAATAGTTTAATGGGGCTTACTGCGGAAAGGTTTAAAAGAAACAATAATATTGTCACTGTAAAAAACAGATGCTTGGAATTTGGCTGAAATAACTTATTATTTTATTTGTTTGATTTTTATCATGTTCTTCTCTTCAGAAGAGTAGCTTGATAATAATCAATTAGGTATAATCTTGCTTTCTCTGAGCTAGTCTTGCTTAGTTTTACTTTTATTTTAGAAACTATAGTCCTTTTTCTAGCTTCCTGCGTTTATCTTTTATTTTCTATCTAAACTTACTAGCCACTAACATGCCTATCTTATCATTTATTTTTGTGTAATTATCTATAATGTGCTATACTTGAGTATCCTGTAATGTTATCTTTATCTTTGAGAGTTGTCTAACTGTAGTGGCTTAGAAAGCAACCAATGAAACAAAGAAATGAATATGTTATTGCATTGCAGCTTTTATACTTAATATTCTGTTGTCTGTTAAAGCAGCCAGATATTTGGGGGGTTTGGAGGTTTCCACGCTATTTTAAAAATCACATAAACATAAGTGGACCTTACAAAAGTCCAAAACATCTTTTCCAACTCATTTTTTAAATGTGAAGAGTCTTAAAAAGGAATCACAAAGAATGTTCTTCCTGGGTCAATTCAGAAAGCTCAGATTGCGCAGTTCAACAGGGGAATTGTTGAATCTGTCATTTGTACTTCTATAACTGTCTGATTTGGCATAACAATGAAACAGGACAGGTACAGACTTCAACAGAGAGTTAGGATTGCAGAAAAAACAACTGGCAATCATCCTGCCTTCCATTGAGGACATGTGTACAGCACAAGCCAGAAAGAAGGTTGTGAAAATATTTACAGACACACCACGCACACCCATATAAACTGTTTCAACTCCTCCCCTCAGGACACCACTATAGGGCATTGCATGCCAAAGGAACTAGACACCAATATAGTTTTTCTCCCATGCCATCCCCGTGCTAAACACCTAATTCTCACAGCACTATCTTATGCCTAAAGATATTTACCGATGTTGTAGGGCTGTATTGCTATTATCCTTCTCCTCTTTCCTATCACCTTCTTCTATTAGTATCTCATGATTTCTCACTTTGTTGTTTGTATCTTATGATTTATCACTTTATTATTTGTATGTACACTGGAAGCTTATGTTTGTATGTACACTGTATGTTTGTATGTAGACTGAGAACATATGCACCGGAAACAAATTCCTCATGTGACCAATAAAGAATTCTCATTTAAAAGCTCTCATTTAAAAACCAATTATAAGATGGTTTCATGAGTTCGTATAGTTTTTGTTTATATTATCATTTTTGAAGTACACTTCATAAAATGTAGTGTATCTTTGATTTATTTGCAGTATACCATATACTGATTTTTCACTCTGGGAACAGTAGAATAAAAAAGAATGCGATTTAATATGAACTCACCTTATGAAATCTTCAGAGTCACTAGCTGGCATAAAAGGTTTGCCGATGAAAGACTATTATATTGATGCTGAAGAATAGAAAACAAGGGAGGAGAAATGCATCTGTTATTTTAACCCACTAAATAAACTGAGACCAGGGTTCTACTCTTTCAACTCTATTCACTTCAGGTCAGGAGAGGTTGCAAGTTATGCCTTCCTTCCCATTGGAAGGAAGCGTTTCCTGGTACTAAAGAAGAAAGTAGATTATTGGAAGAACAAATATTAAGATAAATTTATTTGTGTTACACAGAGTGCATTATCAGGAATCTTTCAGCACAAGGATGTATCTGTAGGTAATTGCTAGTGTGTACTAGGAACTTGCTGGCATGTTATTAGGAATAATGGAGGAAAGACAGATATATTTGCAAAGATTGAAATAGTGATTCTTATGGTAGTTCTTACAAAAAGTCTTCTAAGCATATTATAAAGTTTTATTGTTTGATATCTCATTTATTTTTTAGTAAATATTGCTCTGGTTTAATTCTCAAAAAAATTCAGTGTACTAGTTGTTTGTGGTAAACTTGTGGTAAAACATCAGAAAAATCATTACATTCTGAGTGCAAGCAGCCAATAGAAATCACATAAAATTTGTATTTCTTGACTGATTTGTAACCTTTTCAATTAAACTGTTCAGAATTTGAATTTCTGGAAAACTGGATTTTTCCACTTTAAAACAGTAATATTGTAAAGTATCTGAAAAGTATTTTTGCTTGTTGTGGGACTTTAGAAACAGAACTCATTTTTATTGGGGGAAGAACTTAATGGAGAAAAAGCATGGATAATTTTGACAAAAGAGGGCAAAATATTATTTAAAAAAATATTTTGGTATTTATTTCATGCCCCTAATCATTTTGTCTCATGCAAAATCATTATATTATTAGTGATGAATAATTGTTCTTTTAAATTGCTTGTTTGTCACATTGAAATCAACAGCAGCACTTTCTATCATATTTGGAATAGCCAGGTTTAATAATAGGGTTTATTAGTCTAATCTTTCCATTATTCCACCTTTTGTACTACATATTTAGCATAATGTATGATCAGTGAGCTAAATGCACTATATATATTAAGGAAATGAAATAGCTTCAACAGTGTCTTGTGTTCACTACTCTCTTTTCTCTTCTCAGAATAATTGAACTTTTGTGAGTAGAAAACTATTTTTTTTTTTGCAAGTAGGTGATAAGTATGCATATTGTAACAACAATTTTATCAGATTAATTTAATATCAAGAAATCAATTGATATTGTGAGCACAATTTAAATCTATTAAATTTTTATTAATAAAGTAAAATGAGATTGAGGAGTGTTTTTTAACCAATTTGGTTTTTTCCCCCCTAAAAGTACTTTTTTAGTTGCCACACACTGATGTGATCATTATCTGTCACCTCATCATCTTGCTGCCTCAGTATACAGTAAAATAAAATAAAAGAGGCCAGAGAAGCTTGTGAAGTATGACTTTCTATCCCAAGACTCATTCCCTGTGATTCGTATCGCTTGACAGTAATGATCTTATTACAGTACTCTGGACCTTGAAGAGATTTCATGAGGAGAGTGAAAGGATGTGCCTCCGTGTAATCAAGTGGCGCTGAATATTCCACGGGTTTTTGATCACATACTGATTGGGCACAGTTTTAGCCCATCTTCTAGTCAATTATGCATGGCCCCTTGTGCTCTTGTGATAGTCAGAAACATTGATAGCAGTTGTCTGGTTTTGGCAGCTAGCCAGCAGCTTGAAGTGTCTTACGCATAGTCATTCCAGGATAAGTGCTTTTTAGTTGGAATTGATTATCTTCCTTTAGATTTTGCTTAATAGCCAAACTGCTTTGCAGAAGGCTTCAGGTAAAAAAATGGACGTATTAGTCATTTAAAGTATCTAAACTCCTAGTCATTTTTTTGAACCTTTCCTTGTTTCTACCTAATTTAAATCAAATGATATAATGTTTAATAATGTTTCAGATATTCCTATAACATTTCATAAGATATTTCCATAACAATGGAAATAATATTTCAAAAATGTTGTTAGAGCATACAATCTAAAGTTTTAGCTAACTTTTATTCAGCAATAATTGGATTGAATCTGTGTTTCCTACCCCTACTAGAAAGAATTGGTAAACTTTAGAATAACTTAAAGATTCTGAAAACAACAGAATTTCTTCTGTGAAAGATGATCACTTATGAGCCATTAAATAAAGCTGTAAGGCAAGGAGACACAACTTTTTTCTAGCTGGTATTTACATTTAGAATATTGAATGAATATCATTGGTGTTAACGCAAAAT